GTTTTTCCATTTAAAATTACAAAAGGCAAAAGAAAACATCTCTTTTGACGCAATCGCTGCACTTTACAATGCGTAAGAATTAATTGTTAAAAAACGTAATAATAATATAGGTAATAAAGGTGAAAGGAAATACTGTCGGTAGGCTACGCGAGTAGTACACATTTATATAAAACTACTTATATAAAACTATTTATATAAAACTATTTATATAATACGCGATATATATTAGTTAAACTTATTTGAAATTTTTTTAACAAAGGTCCGACGTTTCGGATGTTTTGCAGCAGCCGTGGTCACGGATCTCAACGTGAAATAACTTTCAAATAAGTATAACTAATATATATCGCGTTTTAAGCCGTTAAAGTGTTTTATTTAAAGGTGAAAGGAATTGATTTAACGCAATCGGTACCGTAGTGGTCCGTCACTTTAAGTTAGTTTTTCGTCACTAAGCTTATCTTTCATTCTCTTAATCCAAGTAAAGTTTCCCTTGATCACGAAGGACCAATAATATTTTAAAGTTTAAAGTTAGTCTTCGTATACTGTCTATAGATATAGTAACGACTAACAGTTAATTAAGAACTAGAATTCGTTTGTTTATTTTATCATCTATCACTACTTAATGGCTCTTCGTGACAATCGCACACTTGAAATAGATTAGGTGGTTGTTTGAACATTGTGGCTATCAATTGAAGTCCTTGTGTATATTCAAGGGCTATATATCTATGTATCCGTTACGACAGTATATGTAAATTATGAATTACTGTGTCTCTTAGTTATAATCTTGCTTTAAGGTAACGAACTTAACGAATCTAATATCCTTAGTAACAACGCTTTTTACGAGTATGTTTGATGTACCAACAATGGAATTTGTTAAACGAACATCAAAGGTACATATATACAAACTAATTTAATATACTTATGGCTTCCAGGATAATGATAATTACTACAAAACGTGCATCATTAAGTAGTCTTACTCTGATGACGAGCAAATTCTTACATAGTAAGTCATAACATTATAATATGTAAGTAATTGTTTACATATTACTTAAAGAAGCAATTAAATAAAACTTGGCTGCTGCGAAGCATCCGAAACGTCGGGCCGGAATAATTTTTGATATATAATTCGATTTTTAAACTATTAAATTGTTTTGATTAATTTTGAGTTATATTTAGTTATAGTTAATTAAATTAATTATATTTAACTAAAATACAATGCATAACTTAAGTTTTAAACAAATACAAGTCCATTTCCTGAACATTGATTCTGTAGCCAACATAGAACTGTTAAAGCCGCTGTTTTAACTGTTCAAATCATAGTTTGATATCAATTTACGCTCAAGTAAGCAAGGATTTTGCTGAAATTTGTGACTTAATGATCATAACGAAGTACAAGGAATAAGAATTAAGTATTTCTTAGATAGTTTCTTGTAATATCCGGTAAGATTTTCGCCTAAAAAGACTAATTGATACTTACTAAATTATATATACTTTAGATGACAATATTATGTCAAAGATACATACATGGATGTGGTTTCCACAGGTTAAAGTTGGCGATTTTTTTACTAAGTTTTATTTGTAAATTTTTTGTTATGCTAATGAGTATTTTATTCAGTCCAACAGAAAAGGATACAATTATTACGCTGATATTACAAAATGATGTAGGACACAATGACAGCGATAAGTTTTAATTACATATATGTATAATAAACTTATTTATTTTATAATATGAAGTTTCCTTTTGGTTTTTTTCCTTTATTATTTGTATTTTTGTAATATGTTTAAATACTATTAAAATTAAGTTAACGTTACAGTAATACTATAGGGGGATTTAGAAAGCGGTCTGTTTAGTACATGCGCAAGCGCATGTCGATATAAATGATCGGTATCAATGTCGGATACACCTATATCTTGTTGGACTTTCTTAATTTAAAATTCTATTCATTTTCTGTAATGTATGCTAAATATATTAGTAGAGAATTAATTCGTTGACGACGTACACAGCAGTTTTACGATATTGATTTAATTTACTTTGATTAACCGTAAACTTGGCCTTGGCGTGGTCGATAAACAGAAGTTTCGGTCAAGATAAATACGAATTATAAAAAATATAACCTCACGTTATGATGAACGACAAATATACGTCAGGTTAAGTTTTTACTAACAGTAGAAGTTTAAGATACAACATGGATTTAACTAGTGATGATGCTGGTTCAGTTAACTAAGCGTAAAGTGTCTATTGCCTATGACAAATATACATTAACGTATAAAAGTATAAATACAATCACCACGAAAAATATACATAGTTACAGTAACATACAGAACATATTATGTTACCCAATTTAAATAGCTCAAGGGTTACATTTTCGCATTTTTCGTGACGTTTTGTTTTTAAATAGTTTGTAGTGAAAGTGGTCTTAGATCAATTGGGTCAAACAAATGTAAACATACATACTTATAATAGAATCTGAAAACAGTCACTTATAGCCTAATAGATTGAGAACGTGACGCAAAACGTGGTGCGAATTGCAACCTCGCGGTCGCGGAACGGACGCTCGTCAACTAATGCTAGTATTCGCGAACCCTCCTATTGGATTATCATCATTATATTTATTAAAATAGAGTATAGTACATCCTAGGAGGGATATCCAAGTATTTTTCTATTATTTTGTCATATTTGATAAGGTACAACTATTTTCATAAAACACTTTAACGGTTTAAAACGCGATATATATTAGTTAAACTTATTCGGAAAATATTTTAACTAGAAGCATAGAACGTTGTTTCAAGCATCCGAAAAGTCGGGCCGTAGTTAAAATCAATTTCAAAAAAGTTTAACAAATATATATCGCGTTTTAAACCGTTCAAGTGTTTTATGTAAATGTGTACTACATCGCGAAAAGCACACACAGTATTTAAGTACAAGTATGTTTTCATATAAAAGTGGTATATTTGAATAAAGATACATTACTATTAAGTAAAAATGAATCTAAGTGTTCCAATCAGAAATAAGTGTACATCTTAATTTTTTTATAGAGCTGGATCAAACTATCAGTACTCCTGCCGTATGAATACCACCTTTGAGTATATAAAGAATTCATTATTTTGCAATGTATTTATGAGCAGATAACTTGTGTAAAAAAATTGTTACCATACCATATCAAGTTACGTGAAGAATCAAGGTTGACAAGTGTTGTAAATTTAATGCACATATAGTTTTTTTATTACTCGACTTGTTCCCAATATAGAAGTGTGCAATTCAACAAATACATTGATATGTAGAGGTTTATATTTGCATAAGTCTGTGGAGTAATATTATTAAAGTAATGAAAACTTTTAAGCCTATTTCTTATTTTAATCCTTCATAAGTATAACTAAACTTTCTACTAATATTGTAGTTAACTGTAAGCAAGCTGATTTAATTTTCTTAGCCAGAATATTAAACTCTTCCAATTAATCTTGAAACAGTATCAACAATATGTACATTTTAAGTTCACAAATAATACTTTAAAATACATTTTCATATGAGTAAAGTTTTTTATAAACTCATTATCAAGGATTCTTCGTCTTGAGGGAAATATATAAAAAGTGTCTTATTGTAAAGTATTATGTAAACCTAAGTATTCCAAAATTGTGTGCAATAAGTATATCAAACTAGCGAGTATATTCATGTAAAAGAAGAATCTAAGTTTATTTTAATAAAATGGCATTTTAGTAATTCAATAAAAAACACATATTCTTACCTTATTATTTAGTTGTAATTGCGAAACTTTTCCGCCTTCCACAACGATTGTGTTCCTAATTCATTCGATAAGGAAATATACTCCTATACATAAAATAGTAGTAAAAATATTATATACTCAAATTTAACTCGGTAACATATATATCTACAATTTTTAAATTAATATTTTATTCTTGTTGTGTGATTCGTGTTTCCTAATTCAGCAACTCTCATGACCAATTTTCCTTTACAATTTGACACACATTTGACACTTGACAGTACATACTATCCCTGTATTGCCAGAGCTACGATTACAAAGTTCTTTTAATTTGCACATTTTATAATGTAATATTATAATATAACGTTTAAAATATTTAACGTTAAGACTTTTTTATTCTTTCTTTCTTATTCGCAATGATATGAAGAGGTTGATGTGGTTATGAAACTTTCCTCCCTATTGTTTCTCGAAGACCAACTCGAGCAAATAGTATTATATTGTTAACTAACAATATATAAGAATATACATTAAGTTTTAAAATGAAGAAATTATTGTTTCATAATTTAAGTTCTTAGCCGCTGACAGTGGTGATATTTATTTTTGTTTGTAAAGAATACTTAAAAATGGGACTGACATATATTCATGTACGACTGGCGAAAATGGTAACCAAGCCAAGACAACCCCACTTCGGTACATGTTCCGAAAATGTTGAATTTAATTAAATTTTAGTAATGTATTAAAAATACTAGTATCATTGAGACTTTAGTCTTTCTAGTATGGAGTATATAAAAAATTCCTAATTTCGCCTTCATTGTATTCTTTCACTACATACCGTATATATATAAAATAAAACGGATCCCGAAACTTATGATTAATCGTTATCTTTGGATTCTTTAAAGCCATGGTTTACAATATAGCCCAAACACGGTAAAAGAAACCGTATCTATGGAGTAGAATCAACTTGGCAATGTCGTACTGACATTGACATCATATACATTACAACTAAAAAAAATATAGTTACAATCACAAAATTGAAAAAGGTGGAAGAAAGTAGAGTCTGTATTTTGTTTAAAGGACAAAATATTTTATGAATAGCACTGAACATTTTACATATTCAGTTGAAGTCGGCTACTAAGTCTAGTCGAGTTAATTGGTTATTATTACTTTTAACTTTTACGCAGTTTATTTAAACGAGCTTTTCATTATAATTTTGTTTTGATAAGCTTTTTGACACTTGTGACCACGTAGTGGTGATAAATAGACGTGTTGATCGAGCTAATTGTGATGTCTAGTGAAGAAAACGAAATGTCCGGAGGTCAAAATTCCCAGGCACTGCAGGCGGCAGATGACGAGAATCTCAAATCTTGTTGGGTTTGTTTTGCTACTGAGCAGGATGACAAACTTGCTGCGTGGGTCCAGCCTTGCAAATGCATTGGAACAACCAAATGGGTCAGTTTCTTTTATTTACAATTTGATGCTATTGGGAATTTGAATTAGAACGAATTACGGCTTGGTCATTTTTAGAGCTATAGTTTAGCCTTAAATTTTTTGGTACTCTATGATATTTTGATAAATTACAATATATCTGTGATTATTGAAGTGCATATTTTCCTTAAAGTTGCTTTAGTTATGAGATGGTGCTTATTATATTGGAAAAAATTGATATGTGCAAAAGAAATTAAATAGTTCGTAGACAAACACCATTAAGTAGTTATTTTATCTTGGCATTTCATTTTGAAATTTTATTTAATTCAGGAGAACTCTAAACATTTATTGTACCTTCATAAACTGTTACTAAACATACTGGTTATTTAATTTTTACATTATAGAGTATAATGAAATAAAAAAAATATAACTTTAGCTGAGTCTTTAATAAAACAATTCAATTTTTTGATTCTATTCCTCATACATGTTAATTTTCTTAAATTATTAGAAATTCAGCTATCACCATATTATGTAATCTTCTATTATTTCTTGTAGTTAGTATTATAACAACTTGTTAATGTGTATTAATTATTTGAAGCAAACATTTTGGTAGGTTTAAGATCAGTTCTGTAGAAAGTTGAATTTAATTTATATATATTGAATTTATTTTATTTAATATAGTCATATTAATTTAGTTAAATTAATATGTTATACCTAATAGACATGTGGGAGTAGCTGCTTCAAATATGCTGTGTTAACTAATTGTTATTACATAAAAAGGACCTCCCAATAAAATTGTTAGAAAAATATGATTTTAATTAGGAAGATAAAAGGCTCAGTAGAATAGATAGTATATCTGTGAATATGTTATCTTATGTAAGAACCTATTTCTCACATTACCATTTATCGATATTAATGTTATAAAGGAAACTGTTTGTTTAAAGGCACTAATTTCAGTATCTAGGTTCAAATTGAAAAATTCTTTTTGTGTTGGCATTTACCAAGGACTTTAGGCTTTAAAACATCACGTTGCAACTGAAAGGAGCAAGGAAGAAGTGAACTATTAATCTTTTTGGTTTCCGTTCTGTGCGTTACTAAAAAATTACATATGCCAAATTATTTCTTGTCAAACAATTTAAAAAAAGTCTACAACAGTATATGTCTAACTGTTAGAATTAAGTTTCAACTAAAAATTATAAAGTTGAGGTGGTTTGTAACACAAATTTTAATGCCCAAAATAACTATTCTATGTGTACGAAGTTACGACCGCAACTAGTTAATAATATTTTGTTAAAAATGAAATAACGTCAAATAACCATTTCAAAACCCATACCTTTGTAGTACTATTATCATTGTAATGCATGTTTATTAAGAAGCATATATTTACATGTATTGTGGCTTATTTTGTTAGTTATACCTTTATGGGTCGTAAAGGTTTGCACAATAAATCTTGTATGCAGATCATCAACCTATTGTGACTGAAAGAATAAATAAGATATGATATTATTATCAATTAGGGAAATCTCAACGGGAGCAAGTGAATGCACTTTGGTGCAACAATGCTTTTGTTCCTTGGAAGTATATTTATGTAACACTTGTTTACATATGAGATAAGGAATGTATCATTTTAAATTGGCTTGTTGGAAAAATGTTAATAATTTTGTTGTTTGAAGCAAATTGGCTATAGAAATAACATAAAAAGTCTCTTAAATTACGTACTATTTAACATCTGGGACTTAGACATATGAGCTGGGAGATGTTAATCTGTTAGTTTGCGTTGTGGCTATTTTTTGACAATATATTTGAGTGGGTATATATTATCACTTTATAATGGAGGCTACAAATGGGTGGTGTGGTCAATAGCGGATGTGGACTGATTACCTGGCCTTCTATTGGTGTCCCCGCAAGAAAATAATTAGACGGAGAGCCCAAAAATGGAAAAGTTTCGGTTCTTCTTGAATTTAACTTATAACTCCAATTTGTGAAAAGTGCACACATCACTAGACTAAATACCTTGTTTTCACAGTTAATATTTATTTTATTGTATTTGAGTTATATTTTGACATTGTCTTCAGGTACACCAAAGTTGTCTTCAGAGATGGGTGGATGAAAAGCAAAGAGGAAACATAAGTAGGAAGGTGCTCTGCCCGCAATGTAAAGCTGAATATATAGTGGTGTTCCCGTCTATGGGAAACTTTGTGGCCCTATTGGATGCTATGGATAATATTACTTACAAGATTAGTCCATTTATTGTCGGAGGCGTGTTACTGGGGTCTATCTATTGGATTGCTATTACTTATGGTGCAGTTACAGTGATGCAGGTAAGTTTTGCTTATTTATTTGTGACTTCCATGTACAAATATACAATTTATCATGAATCGGCAAATACAGCTTAAACACAGCAATATTTTTTGGTGTCAAAGTTGTTTTTGAGAATTGTCTGTATTTTCTAAAAATGAGGCCTAGTTAAAATATAATAAATTAAAAATAAGTTACTAAATATTTCGAGTTTGATACATTTGAAGTGTTTATTTGTAAGATGATTTTACTCTTTTGTTTACTTGAATTAAAATGACAGGCAATGACTTGATCGTGATCTAGTCACATGCTGTCCACAAAAACACCTTTTTTCCTGGAGATTGACTGACCAACTCCTTAATTTATTGGATTCACAACACTCAATACTTTTTAAACACATATATGTTGATGTTTGGTAATTTTCCCACCTGATGGCTAGCTGATGCAGGTGCATCCACGCTAAGTTGGTAAATCAGGTAAACCTCATAAAAACTTATTGACGTTCCTTAAAAAAATGTCTGATTAATGAGTGTTTCAACCTATTTATGTCCCACTGCTGGTATGCCTAGCTCAGGGTCTTCTCTCGGAAAACCATTTCGGTTTCAAAAACCCATCAGGCCGCTCCATTGTAGCTTGGCGGGGTTTACTCATTACACAAAAATAATGCTTCCAAATGTCATTAAGTACCTACCAAGAAATTGATGAGCAATTTAACGAGTGTGTAAATTACATTTCCGTCTCTATGCAATTGTATCCGTTGGTGCAACTATTTCCGCTATATTTGTATCACGTGCAACTATTAAAAATTCTGAATCGCGATTGGTTTGAATTCTTTAAAGAAACACGGTGCGCGTGGAATTCACACCGGTTGTTTCTTGTCCTCTCAATTATTCCGGGTTCATTCTGTTTGTATTCAAATCTATACTAATTTATAAAGCTGAAGAGTTTGTTTGAATGCGTTAATCTCATGAACTACTGGTGGGAATTGAAAAATACTTTTGTGTTGGTTAGAGCATTTATTGAAGAAAGAAGGTCCGCAACATGTCTTTCTTTTAAGATTAACTTGCAAAAACGACGTGATGCAACCGACGTTGTGGGTAACAGCTCAAAACTATATAGAAAAAGAGGAGGTTTGCGGAAACAAATTTGGACGAAGTCGCTGACACAGCTGGTATTATAATACATTTTCGAAATTACAAACACATTCGAAATCTGACATTTCGGGAGTTGAAGCACACGATAATTGTCGTATTGTTTGATGTAATAATTGTTTGATGTATTGACGAAGTATAACAACAAGAGTATTTTATAAACATGAGTGCGCTAATTGAAATACCAATGTAGTCTCTAACTGAGTTATAAGGGCACAGCGATTTACAACTGAGCGTCCAAACCCTCGCAGATGCGAACATTTTTGACGGGCGTCAAAAGGCGTGAAGCGTCAACGTTATATATGGCTGAGATAATTCACCCCCCATCAAAGTAGTCTGTCCTCCCCCTTAAAAAAAATTGCGTGATTTGCAAGCTACGCACAAAATTAATGTATAAAAATATAATAATCAAGGCACACCAAACGTGCAGGTAGTCGTTACTTCCGCTCTTAACGTCGTTGTTCAAACTGTCGATCATTGTGGCGTAAGGACAAACAAACATACTTTCGAATTTTTAATACAGTGTTGGAAATATGCATTATTGTAATTGTGCGTATGTTATCGACCCGTGTGACCATTTCCTACGAAAGCGAAGGTCATCACTGTGCGAACGCTCGACAAGAATATCGTGTCTTTTGTTGCTGGTCTTTGATTATTTTTATGGCAATAGTTATCGCCCAATTACCCTAGATAAGATATTTTGGACTATATATTTTGAATACAGAATTTTGATTTGCAACGCCGATAGTTCTACCAGACTGTGCGAGAATGTTTTGCTGCGTTTTTGCGGTCGGTAGAATGATTCGACCACAAACTTCTTTATCGTTCATTAACAGTATTCGTCATTCAAAACAAAAGAGCGTATGACAAAATTTTAAAACTTGACGAACCATTTTTATATACATATAAGCAATAAAAGAAACTAAATAGGTATCCTGCATTCTTTAAAATACTTTAATAATTCTTCACTTAAATACTGTCTGTGGTTTACGCGCGAAGTACCTATTTGCTGCAAAGCATCCGAAAAGTCGGGCCGTAGTTAAAATAATTTTCAAATAAGTTTGAATAACATATATCGCGTTTTAAACCGTTAAAGTTTCTGAAATTGTTCACTTAATCACCTACCACATATTTAAGATTTGTAGTTGTCGATTTTCTTTTGTTTACCAATCGTTAAATAATATGGCCCTGCCCTGACACATCGTTGATCTTTAACCGCAGTTGATAAGAGCGTTGTACCTCACCTTTTCAAGTGGGAAATAGAAAGTAGTTTTACTTGCAAAGCGAAAGGAGCTTTGATATCGTTTCTTGATATCTTTTACAAACTTTTGTTTGATTGTGATTTCTCCTACCCACCTTGAAATCCAGAGGTTTATATTGAAAGTTTCTTTAACCGCCTACGTACTTCTTGGGTTTGAATCCCGAGAAAATAAAGTAAATACACATTTAAATAAAAATACTTTAACGGTTTAAAACGCGATGTATATTAGTTAAAATTTGAAAAGTATTGTAACTACGGCCCGACGTTTCGGATGCTTAGCAGTAGCCGTGGTCAGGTCTGTTTGGTTTAAATGTGCACTACTCGCGTAAACTATAGGCAGTAATGATATTTTTTTGTGTCTACCTGGGGATCGAAGTCCGTACCTCAAAAAACGATACCAAAATGGATGTGTCGTGTACGTAATTCTTGAATCTGGCTGAAAATGTGTTGTAGTTTTATTATATAAAATTCGCTTTCGGTTTAATCAGACAGTGTCCAAATGTGACCTTTAGAATATTCTACATAGATCCTAAAAATACAGTCCGATAATGTGATGTTGTTGCTTTAGATTAAGCGTGACGCGCATAATTAGCATTTTAAATACAATAAACCTTCACGGACGTTCAATTCGATAAAAACACGCCATTAATAATAATGTTTTCGGTTTTTCTATAGTTTTTCTTGTTGTGTCATACAATAACGCGTCTGTTTGAAAGACATATTTTATATGGATTCGCGATTCGGTGACGGGTAGTCTGGATTATTTAAAGGTATCGATAACGTTTAGAATGAACGATTAGAAAAATATCTATACTAATATATAAAGCTGAAGAGTTTGTTTGTTTGTTTGAACGCGCTAATCTCAGGAACTACGGGTTCGACTTGAAAAACATATTTTTGTGTTGGTTAGAGCATTTATCGAGGAAGGTTATAAGGCTATAAAAAAACCGCCCTGTGACTAACAAAAGCAAAGATACAGCGGGAAATGTGAGAAAAGTTGGAAAAATTATTGGGTAATGGGTATTATATTGGTTTCCGAGGCGTACTCGCAAAAACAGTTCAAGATACTAAAAAAATATGTATGAGAGAATAATTCCTGTTTTAAATGGTCTAAAACAAAACGCGACGCTATATGTCTATCTTCTAAGATTAACTTGCAAGAACGACGGGAAGGGATGCGACCGGCATCGTGGGTAACAGCTAAAAGTTATAAAGATAAAGGAGGTGCAAATTTGGATGCACCTCCTTTATAAATATTCTTAGCGAAGTCGCTGCAACAGCTAGTAATAAATAAAGCTTGTTTAAATATATAGTGTGTCTTTAATGCTGTTGAATATTAAGTTACCTAAATATAAAATATCTTTTCCTCGCTTTTGAGATCAACAAACGATATGCACGTTTCACCTTCAACCGACGAACAAACGACATTTCACTGTCCTTTACATTTCTGAGACGAAACAGGGAAACCGGAAGAGGATATACCTGCAGTTTTATAAAATACTTTTCCTCATACATGTGTAATTTTTGTCATATTTTTTTTAATACATTACGTGAATTGTAAACGTAAGTGCATATTAAGCCATAATAATAAAATAGGTGTTGCCTAGCAACTGAAATAGGACATTTTTCCCGAAAATTAAAATCATACCACTCAATTATGGGATGGCCACGTCATATCACGTATTAATTTATCTAATAAATTAATTTATAAATCTAAGTTACCGCGAGTAACATCTTTGGGCACATAGTAACTAAGTAAGGTTTTATTTTTTTTCTTGAAGCAGCGTTGTGTTTTGAAAACAGCTTGGAGGTTCGAACACGGGTTGTGTAAAATTACTTATTGTACACATAATATAACAGTCGAGCGTGTATATTATATTTGTATTCTTTTACTTGTTATTTAGTCAGTTCTGCATCCGATGCGAATTTCTGTTAAGATAAAGCATGCCGGTTCGATTGAGAATAGGTAATTACATCAGCCTTATAACATCTAAAGAAGATGAGTTTATTTGGGATTTATACATTGGATCGGTTTATACCAGTTCATTGTAGGTTCGCGATGATGTATTTGATGTCCCGATTTTCCAAACGGAGTCCAACATACCAAAAATGAATAAATTATTCGGAAACATATTTAGACCCGGTGCGGAGTCCCCGTACCGTACCATTAAACCAACGAGACCGTCAAAATCAAGTTTCTAAAAGTAAAAAATATACGTATAGGTAAACGAGTTATTCCCAACATGTAACAGTATTCCTGCGGCACCGTTACGCGAAAAATAAACCGAATGGTGACGCTTTGCAAATACAAAGAACCGTTAAAACGATTTTTCAATCACGCGTCGGTTTTGTAACCTAGATACCTACTTATTAATTGCACACGATTTTATTTTTCATGCAAAGAAGTTCCTACTGCTGAATTTAGAATGACAATAATGTTTTATATATTTTAATATTTTCGCACCCACAAAGAGGTAAATGAATAAAAGACGATTGATTTGAAATATATATCTATACTAATATATAAAGCTGAAGAGTTTGTTTGTTCGATAATAGGAGCGAAGAAACAACGGGTAACGTGAAAGAAACGAGGAAAATTATTCTTAAGAACTAAAGAATTAATCCCCTTTAATTGATCTTTAAAAAAGTCCGCGTCGCTATATGTCTATCTTTTAAGATTAACTTGCAAAAACGACGGAAAGGGACGTGACCGACGTCGTGGGTAACAGCTTAAGTTTATAAAGATGAAGGGGTTTGCAAAAAAATATAATTGGATACCCAAAATAACAATTCTACGTGGACGAAGTCGCTGACACAGCTAGTATAGTATAACACGACGCGGCAACTCAATTGGTCTAAGTGGTTGGTCCCACCCGTGTCTTATGTTAAAGAAAAGTCTATTATTTCGATCTGAATAGATCTTTAACATTATTATCTTTTAACAATTAAAAAAAAAATATTAAAGTGTTTTGACCGTCATTAAACTCATATGAATACATAAAACTGACTCCTTACCCTTTAAATTTCAGGTGGTGGGACACAGGGAAGGTCTGGAGATGATGGAATCGGCTGACCCTCTGGTGCTGCTGGTGCTGCTCCCAACAATACCGGTGACACTCATCAGCGCGCAAATGTACAATTGGGAGGACTCTGTGCTCTTCTTCCTGAGAAAGTACTGCGCTAAGATCCCGGCGTTGTCTTACATATTGCCGTTTGGAAAGTAAGCTTATCTATATAGTTATTCAAGGAATCGTTAATACATAAAGAGTTTTAAAATTATAATATTGGTATGTTATAATCATTATTAATAGATTATAAAACGTTTTCTCGTTTAAAATTCTATTATTTAGTGTTTATTGATTAAAACGTTTGCCAACATTTATTATTCACATTGCAACTATTCATAGTATAAATGTACTTAAATAACTCTTTCTGCATGTGTCCCCCGTGACCGCGGCTGCTGCAAAGCATCCGAAACGTCGCGCCGTAGATAAAATGATTTGTTAACAAGTTTAACTAATAAATTTAAATGTGTACTACAAGTATAAACTATATGTGTTAAACAATTATAGATAAACATAACATGTTTAAAAATAAAATTAAATAAAGCTAAGTTTAAAATTATGAGTTCTAAGCATGCGATGAGATATTGCAGAAAATCATTACTAATAGTGTTACCATTCGTATAAAAAGGGGAGGGAAGAGTCGTATTAGATGCTTAGAGTAATACTTTTATTTTCAGTTCGGATGGCGAACGCGCCGTTGTCCCCGGTCAGAACACGAACAACGGAACGCATAATCCAAACTCGCGTCTCTCGCCCACAATCATATTCTGCTCCGCGCTAGTTCTACCCACCATTTGTACGATTATCGGCAAAATTTTCTTCCGGTCCATCAAGAACAACCTACACAGGACGATTTTAGGCGGGCTCACATACATCACTCTGAAGGGCGCGCTCAAAATATACCACAAACAAATGCTATATATTCGCAATTCGAGTAGAAAGATCTTAGACTACACAGAGTCAAACCTAAAGTTGTACAGAAGCATGAATCAACAACCCGACTCGGTTTCAACGAACGACTCTGAACAGGTCGTTTGAGTGCTGCCATCTTGTAAGGGCGTTGGACGTTAGTGTTGCCAGGCGATACGGAAATGTAGACTATAAAACGTGATCACGTGTCTATTATCTATGCGTACATTCCGATAGAGTAAAAAGTTTTGACACTTCCCTCAACCTGGCAACGGATTTAGACGATGTCTATTATGGACTTGTGATATTATATTGCGTATTACAAACGGATAGTTAAATAATGTGTTAGTGATAAAGCTATTTTAATCTAATTTAAATATGGCTGCTTACTGAGCTTTATTATATGAAATATGGCCTTTAGACTAAGAATTTGTAAACAGCGCCATCTAGCGATCATTTCGCAAGTCTTTTCTCAAGTTTAAATCATTCACTAATATTGTAATATAACTTAAAAAGATATATAATACTTGTTTAAATAGTATATTTTTGTAATGTTATGTTAAAGAAATGACAATTCATATGGAAAAGATTTGTATGAATATTTTTGTACATTCGGGTTTGTATAATACATTTTCTTTATTATTTAATGTTTTATTTCCGACTTTTTAATAACACATAACATATAAGATTTCACAATAGTGTAAATTATATACTTCGAAAGGAAATTTATTTCGAAAATATATTATACATATTTGAGGAATACACACTTTGAGTCATATGTATAGGCAGGTTTAAATTTACTTAAACAGACAATAGATAATTAAAAAATCGAAAATAAATTGAAAAAAATCGCGACTCGGACAGGACTTGAACCGGCATCGTCAGCGTTCCGTGCTGTTGCTCTACTAATTGAGCTACCGAGTCCGAGTGGTAAAGCAACAGCACGGAACGCTGACGATGCCGGTTCAAGTCCTGCCCGAGTCGAATTTTTTTTATTTTTTAATTATATACTGCCTTCATGTGGCAATAACATAAAGAAACCTAATCTCTAATAGTCTAAACCCATTTTTAATATCAAATTAGCTTATTTGATGATACTTTTGATTGCATTGAATGTTATTTATACCTATAAAAGAATATTACTAATATTGCCATCTTTTCTCAGATATGAAAGGTTCTTCTTACGTCCAATGTATATGTTTAATTGTTCTTTCAAATCCTACTTTGAATCATAAAACATTAATTCCAGTCAAAAAAGCTTTGACCGAAATATTGTTTTCAAAGAAAACGAACTATGTCTGTCTCTTTCTGGCTAGTACGGTGCGTAGAGGACAGACGCCGATATCTATTTGCCGGTTCAGTTGTTTTTATAATTGTTATTATCATGACTAAACAATATTATTTTGTTTAAACATCAAACATTGATGCCAAGATTTTAAATATCAATAAATAAAATTATATTTAAAAAATGGTCAATCTTTATATATCTAGCTTTACAAAAATAAAAATTTTTGAATAACGCCGCAAATGTGGGCGGGTTGTGGTTCTTAAATAAAAGGTTATATTACTTATATCTACTTTTAAATAAAACACTGACGGTTTAAAACGCGATATATACGGGTCTCCCCTTGTCCACGACTGCTAGCATCCGAAACGTCGAGTCGTAGTTAAAATAATTTCCAAATAAGTTAAACTAATATATATCGCGTTTTAAACCGTTAGTGTTTTATTTAAATGTGTACTACACGTAAAGTATTTCCTTATCTTTTTCTTATTGCTTTTTAGTGTGAACAGTAAAATTAAAAAATATGCAACCAAAATTTGCTTAACGGTTTAGGCCAGTTAGGGATTGTCTTTATTGTGTTTCGTAAAATGTTTGTATTACATTGGATGATATAACAATTATGTTGTTTGATTTCTAATGAACAACTGAAATATCATTTCCCCTAGATTTAGAACTCACTGAGAGAGGCGGAATTACCCACTTATCTACTTAATAAAAGTTAAAAAAAATTAGGTTTTCATGTAAGTTTAAATCGGTGGCACCAGGTTTGAATCCCATTCGAGGCATTATTTTGAAGACAAATTTATTGTTTCACTTATTCGAGGACCGATAAAAAGCGATAAGCTAACCTAATAATTACTGGACAAAGTTAATTAAAGGCGAAATAATCAATTGATTGATATCGCTAAATCAGCCGCAAATATAATCATTAGGGGCATAATGATAATCAAGTGTATTATCATAAATATTGGCGATAAGAGATATCGCTTATCTTATCAGTGTTATATGGTAAATAATCACACAGTGCAAGTCTGCAGCTCATGTAATCAAATGGAAGTTTAAACACAGTTATCAAGCTGGAACAATTAGTGTTTAGTGTTTCGCCTTTGATGATTTAGCGAAATCGGTAAGTGCAGATTTGCAAAGAGCATTCGTAAGTTAATGTTATTTATACGAAAATATCTCGACTACGGTATACTAAGTTATATTATCTTATACTATTTTTAATTCTAAAATTTTCCGGTAGGTAACTAGAACCTAAAGTTGAGATATTAAGATTTCTTGAATCCTATTCTTTTAAATATTTTTACCTATAAATATATATATAGAAATCTTATATTTAATCAAGTACACACCCAAGTAGCACTTCAAATAAAAAAAATCATATCTAAAATGCTTTTATTATATCCCTAATTAAATCTTGTTCGTTTCTTTGAAATAAGTAGACCCGAAAACTAATCTATAGTTATGTGCTAAAAACTTTTCACGATAATGTTAGCTGGTGCATAAACAAACTTACTTATTTAAAAAAATTATAACAGGCACTTGTAATACGCTTTGACGAAACCAAAAGCTTTTGAAATAATGGCGAAGATAATAAAATCACTTTTCACAACATCGGAGAGACGGAAGTCCCGTTTAGAAGACAAAGAAGAAGATAATCCTCCACAGGATTTAAGAAGAAAGTTGTCTATATCCAGATCTGGTAGAATGAGGCAGGCGAATAAGAAGCGGCAAGTGCTATCTTTGGATGTTTACGGTCAGGTAAAATAAAAATTAATATTAAATATGCTAAATGTTGTGATAAATAGAAGTAACGTGAATTTTTATGAATTATTTGCAAGGAAACATATAGTACTAGTTAAAGAATCAATAAAAAAATATAATTATTAACCGTTGCAAATAGGTATTAAGACATATAATTATGTCTTAATACCTATTTGCAACGGTATAATTAGCTAGTACGCTATAATTAGCGTATCTAGATTTTAGTCAAAATTTACTTCGCGCAAAATAACACATAAGTATTATGGTTTACTTAAGTAGAAATAATTTAATAAATACTTTTATCGTACAACTTTAAAAGTCGGTTGAAAATGGGTCTGTTTCTTGTAAACGTAACTGAATCGTCTTAGAGGTGGAACTGTTGGTAACTCATCGCCTATAACATCTTAACCACGCCCTGGTGCTTTCAGGAAATTCAAAATTCGGATAAGCAGAAGCAAGTGGATCTAAAGGACAATGCCGAGGTTAAGAGACGTCAAAGCACTGAATTATCTCCAGAAGAAGAGATTGACAGCGCCTTCGAAATCATCGATAAGACGTAATAGCATAGCATAGCAGGGTTACCATATTTGAGATTACATCACTACTGTTAAGAAATAAGTATCAAGTCTCTCGTTATAGGGATTTGTGTGTTCTATTAAAAACGGTTAGTTAAGTTTAATACCTACAAACAGTTAATCTTATAGGAATTATTTTAAAGCTTCGTGTAATCTTTAAATTGTTGTGAGTGAAAGTAATAAAATTGTCTTGGAAGTACTTACAGGTAGAGAAGAGGGGAAAAAGTTGACGCCTACTTACTTACGGCCAATATCTTGTGTCCTTGTTCTTTGTAGGTAAATGTAAGAAAGAGACGAGAGACTTGCTTTTTTTAGAGAGAGATTTTCTTATCTACCTTACGTATTTTCTCAGATATGTCATCTGTATTTATGACGCCTTTTTGATATTTAACAGTAAGACGATCGGTGATGATCACATTATCTATGCGTGGTAATCATTGTACTTGACATTATCTCCCAGTATTAGGTAATCGTTTCAAAATATCAGTCCCACCTCTGCTTCTTCGCTTCTATAGGTGCCTGATGTTTTTTAGCCTTTCCCGATAAAAAGTCTAACCAACACAAAAATAATCTTTCGATTCGAACTAATAGTTCCGTCGTGGATTAGCGCTTCCAAACAAACAAACTTTTCTAATATTAGAATAGATTAAAAGTAAAGATGTCGGCCATAGTAGATAAAAGATTGTGGCTTCATGAAGCGAGTCACGCAATGTGATTGTAAATGAAATTGAAAAGAAGAAACGTCATGGTGACTTCTACTCGAGTTGGAGTAAAACTATCGAGTAATACGGAGAGTGCTGAGAATAAAACTAACTTATATTGAAGCTGGCTTATATTACGACGAAAATTGAAAACAATGAAAATCAATTATTTTTATCGGAGTTAAAGTTACATATTGTAAGGGCATAAACATATTTGTAATAAATTTTTATTGTAGATTAAGTCAACGTTATTACAATTAGCACGTATTCTGACGTTTATCTACGGAAACGCGATTATCTTATTAACAAACTACCCTCGATTTGAAATACTTGTTTCTTTCGAGAAGTAGGTAATTATTCTTATATTTTAGCTAATTATAAATGTGATTAAATGATTATAGTGATGACATTATGAAAATTTTATCGGCAGTAAGAATCTATGACGGCATTGTGACAGAATTGTGGACGGCAAACAAAATAATGTTATGTGGGCGGTTGAAAAGATTGTGTGATTTTTGGTTGATTATATGAAGATAATTGTAAATAGACATTGTGTGTTAAAATATCATCATTGATGATGTAATGATTCATCATCATCACCATCCTTAGTCTCCCCAAAACCAGGACTGCTGTAAAGCATCTAAAACGTCCGGTCGTAGTTAATAAGTAACCTACATATTTCAGGTTTAAAACTGTTAAAATTTTACTCAAACTATGGCATGCTAAATACTTCAATGTGGCACAAAAGTTGTAAATAAACTTTTGTATAAAATTAAATTAGTATTATTAAAGTTTGTATTGAAAATGTTTCAAAATTTACACCAAATAAAAGACTGATTAAGGAAAGGTATTTTTATTGTCCTTTTAAGTTTTTAAAGTTAAATATATTAGTTAATACTTAATATTATACTTTCATCTTCTTCTTTTTCGGTTTAATGGGCAGAGGTCCACCGATTTTGAACACCGTGCTAAAACAAATGTTGAGATAACTTTTACACAAAAATTACTTAACAAGTATTCATGAAACTCCTAAGACACATAGAAAGTACAAACCATGTTAAAACTTCGCGAGGGTGATTTTAGTGGTGAGAAATTGATCTTTTTGCAATGTACTCAAACCTGGGAACGCTAGCGATATACATGATAGCACAATTGCATGTTTCTATTTGTGTCATACATTGTTAAATATTGTCTGTAGTTTACGCGTGTAGTTCATATTGAAATAAAGCACTTTAATGGTTTCAAACGCGATATACATAATTTTCAAATAAGTTTAACTAAAATATATCGCGTTTTAAACCGTTAGTGTTTTTATTTAAATCCATACATTGTTTACAATCTAACACTACTTTCTTGGGATTCCTTTTAGAATAAAATATTGGCAGCCGAATGTTTATAACTCAACAGCGTTTTACTTTACAGTAAGTGATTAACATCACGTACAACTAATCTTTGTAACATTTTCACAGTTCTGCACTGATAACGTTTACAGCTGATAAACAATAATTAAATGTCATATTTGAGACAAACTTACTGGCATGTTGTGCATATGGGGCTGAATTTGCAGAACACTGAAATAGAAAACATTATTATTTTAACAAGACTTATAAAATTAGGTCTAAATGCTAGAAGAATTTAATCTTTGAAAAAATCTGAGTATATGCTAATATGCAGTCTGTATGTGCTGTAAAAGGGGTAATCAGTTGAATAAGTTGCTGACTATTTCCCCCCTCTGCCACTTGGATCTTCAACAAAGAGTGCAAAAGCTATAATATATTATAAGCTATATAAAACTAAAAAGACATTATTAAATGTCTGGTTATTTGAAAGAATTGCATATACATAATTCCAGCCTTTTTAATACAACTAAGTAACATGATATGTATGTATTACTTTATGCGTGTTTGTGTGTTTAATTTTTACTTTTAAAAATATATACTCTATTATTTATAAATGAGACCAGTTTGGTTTCGTACTATCAGTTAAAGCGTACTTTAATATTCCCTCTATTTATCCGGCTTGCCGTATAAATGTAGGGGTCCTGTAGCTGGCAGGGGTAGTCGGGTACCTGGCAGTATCTCCAACATAGGTAACACATACTGCCAAGTACGTTTACCTTACGAATTGCTCGTAAGTGGCATTTTGTACCTGGTTAGATAGATAAGTCGCCTTAAGTTGCTTCATCTCACTTTGTACTTGAACCACAGAACGTTTTTAATTTCTTTACACAGTGAAATATTTGGCTTAATTGACGCTTATTATGTTCGTGTGAGTTTGTGTGTTTCTGTGACATAAAAAAATATGACATACTTACCACTGAGACAGACAGAACAAACATATCCTATAGTAAGCAATTCGCGATGACAGAAGCAAGCCGCTCGGTAGTCGACGCGCCCGCGACCTGGCAACACCAGCTGCTTGCGTTCTGAACCCTCCGGTAGGAACACCCACTGGATCATGGCAACAATATAAACATCAATTATAACCATGGTTCCTTTGAACACAAGTCGTGTGTTTAACTACAAGTTTCCTAGCAAAAAGAGAAAAAGTTGTTTAGTCTCTGGGGCATAGAGGTAACATTCAACATATTTCTGAATTCAATTTGCTGATCATTTTTATTTACAAGCCCATCTAACCAAAATGATTTATCCCCAGGACCGCAAGCAATAAGTTGGCCCATTGAGTTATTAATATTTCTTACCAGTAAATATTGCAAAAGCCCTTCCAGTGTGGGCACCTTGAGATAAAGTCCCCCAGTTATATCACAACCCTGTTGCAATAAGCTCAGATGTTTGTCAAGAGAACAAACATCTATCAAAACTTGCTGTTTCTGAAATACAGAAAAAACCATTTATTTATTCCATAAATAAAAAATATAGTTGAATTGAGAAAGGTTTCCGATATGTGTGGATCTAGACCCGGCACGGAGTGTTATCATAATATTAAAGCTATTTATTCCATACAAAAGAAGACAAAACAATACGTGTGAGATAACACATAGCCTAGGCTTTATTAGGATTTGCCCAGTAGCTCTTCATATTGTTTCAGAGTATTATATTCAAAGTAATTTATGTACCTGTGCTGTGAAAAATACATTCATATAATTAATATATTGTGCAGCAGTGTCCGAACTTCCTGTAACTATCAGTATCCTACTGCTTATCTTTAAAGCTGGAGATGCTTCCCGACGTACCTGAAATTATTTATTTATAAATGAAATTATGTCCAATGTGTTAGCAAACAAAGTTTTTGCATTGAATTTATAAATTTTCCTACATTATTAAATAAATCCATTCACAATATTAAACAATAGAATTTATAACTGCATTTTGAAAATGAAATTGTATTGCTAAAAGTGATTCATTACTTACTTTAGAAATAAAACAGAGCCCCATAGCTAATGCTCCTGCTAGGAGAGATTCTCCAGGTTTTTCTTCTTGTGGTTGACTTTTTATTAAATTAACTAGTCTAAAAAATAAAAAATAAACTCCATATAAGTTTTTAAATAATCAATATCTGAATGTATAAGATACTTTTATTTATTTAACAGTAATTTTACATTTAAAATGAAAGTTGTCTAGTTTAACATTTTTTCTTCATTTTACAAGTACATGCAATAATACTACTCATACCTCATCTTAACAGTTTTTTCAACAAGTGTAAATAATTCATATTGTCCGTCAATTTGTCTTACATCAAGCGGCTTTCCTGGTGAAGGGTATAAGTATTCACTGAAATATAGATTCATGTCATATTTAAGCATAAAAGATGTTATACTGATATGTAGGTGGTTATGGTAAGGTTAGAATGGGCACGGAGTCGCAATATTTGAATTTGTTCATTTCACAGTAGATTGATTATGAAACTGTTGTATTTAGTACCAAAGATAAAGCGGATTTTAAAAATTATTGTACCTCTTATGAAAATGACATCCTATAACAGCCAGTTCGTTCCGCGACTTCTGCATAAGATGTGAATTTGCAAAAGCAATTACCGCATCTAAACAGCCCGTTAATATCTTAGGGTCTTCTGTTATGTACCTTTGATTGGGGTTTGTGTCCACTATTATTACTAATGTACTGCTGTCCGATGGAACTAGAATGTTAAAAAAGTCTTGTAGTAGTCACCTTCGGGAACAGTTTTAAAAGGTTAGAATCAAAAGAAACTTACTCTCGTCGTCTGCCATTGTATTGAGATTTAAATGAAAACACGTCGTGGTTAGAGACTTGTCAATAGCATTATATTTATTGAGTTACAATAATAATAAATAATTAATTCGTCGACACAAAATCAGTACAAAAATATAAACAATTTTTATTTACCCTAACCGCAAACGCAATCTGTCACTGTCAACCATCAATACTGACACAAAGGTGAAAGCTGACAATGATAGCAGTTATTTTATAATTGACGTACGTCTACACAGAGTATAGAACTATTTTGACAAATACAGATATTATATAAATTACTGCACGTAAGGAAAAGAATATTTTAAATTGCAAAGTTTCGGATTTGCTATTGTACCACACAACATTTGTAACAAAAAACATTTTTTTATTGTCTTGTGACAACAGCATAATACTTACAATAAATCAATTATTAAGTCTTGCGTTATGCGTCGAAGCCGAAGAGACAATGTTTGAATCCCCGATAAAGAAAAGTCTTACGAAATCCTTTTTATTTAATAATTTACTTACTTAATTACTCTTTATTAAAACTATTTAGGTACAAGTGCATTGCATTTTAACTATTTATTTTGCCTAATCTATCGACTATTTAAATTCATGTCAGACAACGACAGTAGTTAACTGTATAAGTAACCTACTAACTCTATATGGTACCTACATTAATTTTAATTAATTTTGTGATGACCATTGGGAGACAGGTGTCAGGACATCCTAGATTCATATTTGTCAAAAGAGCATTCTCGGCATTCTTTTCGGTATATTATGTTTTTGTCCTTCAGGGTTGTCAAAAGCACCGTGTAACTTGTTGTTATGTAAAATTATTACTTTTATATTAGAGTAACAATAAATAATGCTCTAAACCAATTATTTAATTTAAACCATTAAGACGTCAGCTATTGTAAAATATAATGTATTAATTGAGTTTGAGGAGCCGAAAACTGTCATTAATATTCTGTTTTAATAATGTCATTATTTACTAATCGCTATCAAATGGCAATCTGTTTCCGCATCGTCAAGGTGTAGTCTTGATTATACTTAATTATAGTAATATATTTGAACTGCGTGATTGTAAAACGTATTTACGTTATAAATTCGTCACTGTACAATGTCATGGCATTTTCAACACTAAAAGACTGCGTGGGTTGAAATCAGCAAATTATTATATGTAGGATTCTTAGCGACATATTTGTTGTTCGTATAATCGTTACAGTTTAGTGACAACCCTTATTAGAATAAGGTTACTTAGAACAGTGGCATCGAATCGATCACTCTCGTGGACATTGTTCAACTTGACTTGCGCCGATAAAATCTCACTCGTGCGCAGTGTAATTATCTGCTTTTTATTGTTTAGACCTAGTTAACATGCCGTTTAGATAAATCAATCAAATCTTTTTTCAACGCTCTTTCTTTTACTTTATAGAGTGTTGTAAACACGGCTATACTTTAAAGTAAGTACGTATATACTAATAAATGTAAAAGGATAATCTTAATGTATTTTGCCAGGCGTTACGTATTTCATAAATTTAAATTGAAAATTGGATATTATATTTCTCCTAGTTCTATCTTTGGTCGATTGAATGTTACTTTCGCATCTAACATAAATATTACCTGTATTTACCGTTGACGTACGTTTATGTATTTAATTTAGATATTCTTCACTTTTTCAAAATGTGATTTCGATTTTTATTTCTAACGAGAGTATATTGTTATAGATTTAGATTTGTGCATTTCGATATTTAAAGTTTATATATATATAGATTTATGAGTATTGTTACTGTATTGTCAATCTTCATTGTATTTAATTTTAGTTCTATATGTAACGTAAGGCCACGTAGTTATGACACTTAGTACAGATACAATAATGTTGCAACACAATATTTTTTAAATGAATAAACAAACCAAAAATAAAAAAAAAACTATAAAATAAATTAGTGCCCTAACAGATATTTAAAGTTAGAACCTGACTATAAACTACCCACTAAGCTCGTTTTAAGGAAGGAAGGTAGACGATATCAAGACGCAGTGTTTTTGTGTAATAGACGCCTCATGTTTAATTCATTCCCTCACTAATGATGTTTCGCTTTAATTACAATAAAATAAACATCTACAGCACCTTGTTCTGATGCCATTACTTTGATTTACAAGCCTGTGATATCACTCGTAAGACGGGAGCTTATTATTACAGTACAATTGTGTTTTATCGATGTTGAGACCGGTGCAAGTAAGTGACAATATGGAGGGATTTTATAGGACAACTCGCAAGTACAGATCTCAAGCGTGAATGTATTAATGGACATAAGTTTTAATTAGAAATTTATAGTAAGTTTTACCGCTAGCGACCCGTATATTTATCAAATTTACTACTACTACTATAACGATACATATACCTTAGTATATGTGTCATTTTATTCGTTTTTCAAACGAGAGTGTTTGTTTCGAATTATTTTCTCAGGATTATATCAAATACCTAATAAGCTGACTTTTTTATTATATCGTGTTCAGGGCCGTCAATACTAACTGGAGCTTTTGGCGTGACACCGGTACAGCAAACTTGTAACTGTAAAGAGAACTATTAAAATTTGAAAAGATTTAGATACGAATGACATTTCCTATCTTTAACTAGTAGCTAATCTGTAATAAAGCTCGACAGGAGCTTTTTAAGCAGCATTTACGCAATGGCTTGTTTATCAGAGTAGATTCCTAAAATATTAAATTTCATGGAGTGTCTACCACCTGCGATACCAATCCTAAGATACGACAAAGTTATGTCATATGTCAAAATACATGTTAACAGTACGAAATGAGATGAAACGGGCAGATAAATGAGTTAAATGTTATGAAGGATGTGACAGCGAGCTACCTGTCATTTACATACTAACATTTAATGATATACGCCACATTTGGGAGCGTTGGTGGTCTACGCACTTGGTTCTGTGAAGTCTACAGGGATGGTTTTACAAAAATAAATGAAGATATGTTAGTACCAACATAGATTGCTGTTTTTTTTATGTCCCGGTGTAAGCGAAACCTTATGCCCATCATTATATTCAATAAATAATAGATACTATTGGCACCTATTATTTGTCGTATGTCCTTAACTTAGATATATTTTTTTTATTTTTACATGAAGAAAAATTACATATTTTAAATTAAAAAAAAAAAAGGTTATAGAAAGAAACATACAAGAATAAATACTTGTGGATCGAATTAAAAGCACTTATCTTGAAAATTTGTTGAATTAAACGATTTAATTGTATCAGAGTTATGTATAGACATGTTTTGCAGCAGACAGCAGCAGTAAAATGTTTCGTTTTTGCACAAAAAAAAAACCTATTACTAAAGACCTTTCATACTTTTTGTTTGCAAAAATGTTTAGCTTATAAAGTATTTCCAAGACTTAAACTCCCTTTATTTTATTACTTGGCTCACTCATCAAACATATTTTTTACTCTAGCCCATTTCAACAAGATTTCAACGTCGACCTATTTTGGCTTTGGATATTCGGAAATCCACAGACTGAAACCCACACGTGATTAAAATTGTCGGCTTTTCCATCTGTAGCCGGTGGTCGAACCCGGACGGAATTTGGGATATTTCGACCACCTATTTAATATCTAGATTCACAGACGAAGGCCAACATGTTTTAGAAAAATGTTGGAACCCACGGCCCGCTGATTATAAGCCGAACTTTGCTACCATTACACCAACGAGCCCGTCAAATTGAAAATACATAATTAACAGTTCGCAAAAGTATCCGATAATTGAAATAAGCTTTTACGAGAACATTGTACGTCCGACGTGCCAGTGTACGGCGACGGTACATTAGCGCTACTCGAAATTCGAAATTGGAATAAGAAAAAAAGGCGGGAACGAAATAATTATGCACGTTCCGTTTCGTAATGGGCGTCGTGCTACCGTTTCGCTTTAATAGCTCGCTTCCATAGAATACTAATCGCAGTAGGGACAGTTTTTTGTTTCGAGATAACGAGACGAGCGCGCTGCTATTTAACAGTAATTGCGAAATATGATTGAATTTTTATTCTTTAATCACTTGTCGCAACTGATTGCAGCTTGCAATTAGGCGGTCGTTATGATTTATTAAAAACGAAACCGGCCCAAAATTATACTACTTACGATAAAAATATATGTGTTTAATCAGGGTAACCTTTTGCAACCTTTATATATTATAGGTAGGTATAGAATGTTCTGGATTAAAATATCGTCAATTACCTAAGTAATTTAGTAGTTATAAGTACATTGTAAAAACTGTTAAAAGTCAATAATAATTTAGAATATGAAATTGTTATTAGGTTTTAAAACCTAGTTATATTTTATTAGATCTCGACATGGGTCAGCTAGTCAACATGGAAACTGGACCATACTGGTATTAATGTATTCTATGGAATTGTTCTCAGAATTTAATTACGACCAGAACGCAGCCAGATTAGCTTGGCGCGTTCCGTATTGTTAATAAGTGCAATAATGGAAGACGCCCTCGCACTTTTGATCGCCGGTTCTATTGCCCCTTTATTAATGAATACTACTTATTCATATTTGAGGATTTACCTCATTCATATTTGAGGAAAGCACAACATGCTTTCAATTAAAGAACAAATATATTAAATACTGTCTATAGTTTACGCGAGTAGTACACATTTAAATAAAACACTTTAACGGTTTAAAACGCGATATATTAGTTAAAGTTATTCGAAAATTAAAAACGTTTCGGATGCTTTGCTGCGCCTGACCACGGCTGCTGCAAAGCATCCGAAACTTCGGGCCGAAGTTAAAAATCATTTTCAAAAAAGTTAAACTAATATATCGCGTTTTAAACCGTTAAAATGTTTTATTTAAACAAATATATTATCAACGGATCACGGGTTCTATTCCCCGTGATTGAAAATAACATATCTTAATATTGTTTGAACACGTCTTATAAAACTGGTCATTCATGAAATACCTAGGTGATAGGAATATCGAAATTCTGTTGGAATTTATTTTATGAGTTTGTATCGCCTATTATTGGTTTTGGACACGATGGAGGGTAATTTATACCTCCCTCCTACCCCTTTATAAACTTCTCTAGTAAAGATTCACACTATATGACCTAGGAAACATATAAATTAGTTAAGTAAATTTAAATCAAAAGTCAAGACAGTGTCTTTCATTTTACGCAATAAGTACTAATACTATTATAGAGGGACAGAAATGTCTAATTATATCAATTTCCTGTCACTCTAATAAAAGATTTATTAATTCAATAACGAGCTACCAAAAACAAATTGTCTAAGCAACAAACAAAACCACAAACGACTCAGCCTAAATAAGAACCGGGCCGAGAGATGAACACAAAAGAAAAGATAACGGCTATTGTTTTTTATCATGTTGTCAATATCGCGCGGCCAAATTTTCTATATTGGAATGCCACGATCCGCCAATAAGAAGCGGGCAAGAATTGATTTATTGTCCAATTAGCGTCGGTCAGGTGTGCCAACTGCCAAGATAGCATCGGGCTGGCCAACCTAACCCGGCCGCGGCCACTATTTCTTTTGGCGCTTTCCGTTTAAATGGCATATTGGATTCGAAAAAAGAACGCTTACACGGTGCTGTCAGATCGCTCGGAAGGCCGATTTGAAATTCTGATCGTTCGCGGCCAGCGTTTACTTAAGTGGAAATCAATTTGAATTAATTGTGCTCCGCTTTTTGCGCGGTAAGAACTTTAATTTGATAGGAATTGCTGCCGCTTTATCAGTAAAGCGGCAGCAATTCAGCAGCATCCAGCATTCAGATGCATTGTCGTTTTGGGGATGTGTGCTTTGAAGGATTTTGACTCCCAAACCGTACCAGGATGTGTGCGTCGTTTTAGCATCTTGACCTTACAAGCAAAATATGCAGTATTGTTCAGACGACTTGATCTCTTGCCTAAATCGCACATCAACGACGTGCTTATACTGGAATCATTCACAGATTTCTCTAAGGCCATTGTATCACACTGGAGTATTAGGATTCAACAAACGCCATCTAATGTTTACTATCGTAGCGGTAAATACATCACATGATAAGTAATAAGTGTATTTGACTATACATATTTGATAAAAAATAAATAAAAAGCATAATTCTTACTCAATATAACAGTAGGTATTGAAGCTAAAATTTGGCGATGAAAAAATTTGCGGCGAGATTCTTTCCGTTTTTCAACCTGGATTCGAGAGCTTTTAGTAAATATAAATTTAGAGTTTTTTTAGCGCCATTGACGTTAATAAGTGTGGGTACACTTATTTTTCGTGAGCTCATGATTCATTTCTCAATAACAGAGTTGCACGATTTATTTTATTTAGTATGCAATGTAATATTAGGCTTTAAAGATGAGATGTTATCTCTATGATAATAAAATATGATATTATTTATATACCAGTACAAATATTTTACAATTTGGTTGTTATCGTTTACTTCTATAATATATTTTCCTTGTTATTTAATTTTATGAACTTAGCCACCCTCTTAATATATCTCCCATTTCAAGAATGACGTCACAAACATGAACGTTTCCTTTATTATGCATTATGTAACATTGGCTCGTTAGCTCAGCGGTTAGAGCACCCATCTTATTCTAATAGCGGAGGTCGGGGGTTCAAACAAATCCCTCACGAGCCGTTCCTTTTTATTTTTCTTAATAATTGTATTAATTACAACAAAACATTTCTTTTAATGATGCGACAACAAAATTTCGTTTACTCATTTTTCACGTTTCGGTTGGTAAAAAAAACAGTAGGCCTCCCCCTCCCCACATAAGCCTCGCTAAATTGGTATTAATAAGCCAAGATAATTCCGGTGGGCTATATGAAAACAGATATTGTTTAACGGCCCCCATCAATTAAAGACGGTGTCATAACTATCCTGATTTCATTTAGCCTTAATGGCTAACGTTTCCCATATCGTGTTACCCAAATGGATTAGAAAATCGGCGTGTGCCGGAACTAATATATGTTTAATTACTGAACCTTATTTACAGCTGCTAAAAGTCTAATAAGAAAATGTCGTGGCAATATTTTTAAGGGTTGACAATGACAATGGTAATTTTTTTAAAGTTGAACCCTAAAACAAATAAAAACCTAAAGTCGGGCTTAAATAAAACACTTTAACGGTTTAAAACGCGATATATTAGTTAAACTTATTTGGAGTCTCCCCGGCCACCGACCACGGCTGCTGCAAAGCATCCGAAACGTCGGGCCGAAGTTAAAAATCATTTCCAAATAAGTTTAACTAATATATCGCGTTTTAAACCGTTAAAGTGTTTTATTTAAATGTGTACTACTCGCGTAAACTATAGACAGTACTAAAGTCGGGCTCATAAGTCGAATGGTACAATGTATGGTTAATAATCGATGTGTGGTGGGTTTATTCCAAGGAGTCCAACATTTTTTAATTTATTTTCTGGAACATGATGGACTTTGACATGATGGATTTCTATATTGACTGTTACCTCTGATGTTGAATGGTTACACGCGTTGCCTAGTATCCCATTAAGTGGGATGTTCTGAGCTACAATCTCAAGAAACATTTATTTGGATTGATCAGGACATAGAAGTGAGAGCAACTAATTGCTCGTGAATAAAATCGAAAACATAAAACAAATGTGTAGCATAGGGAAGTCGCGATTTCACTTTTATATCGACTACCAACAGTGTAAAACAAATAAATGCTTTTATTTTAATTTGTAAAAATTAATATATTATTGCATACACTTTTCAGTACTAAAACATACAAATAATAGTAATAACTACTAACTACTTCGTTGCTTTTTTTTTAGTTTTGTGGGTAGTTGGTGCGTTCTTAAGTCTCTTAAAAATGTTTGGGCACTCGGTATCTGGGAAATGTTGGCCATTCTTCTGAATAGCCTATATACCGTTAATGAAAAACAAATTATATGTTTCTGTAAGCTAAAGAAATAAGTATTAATACTTACACATCAAATACAAAATATATAAATTTTGGTGTAAAAAGTTACTAAGAAAAATAAAAAAAGGACAGCTCGTGAGGGATTTGAACCCCCGACCTCCGCTATTGAATTTAGATGGGTGCTCTAACCGCTGAGCTAACGAACCGATGGTAAAAAATGCATAATAAAGGAAACTGTTCATGTTGGTGACGTCATTTCGCGAAGTGGGTAGATATATCATGAGGGCGACTAAGTTCATGAAATTAAATAACAAGGAAAACATATTATAAAAGTAAGCGATAATAACCAAATTGTTGAATATTTGTTACTAACTTCAATCTCAATAATATCATAATATTTTTTTACCATTAAGAGATAAAATATTCATCTTCAAACCGTAATACCCATACTAATATATAACACTGAAGAGTTACTTTGTTTGTTTGAAAGCGTTAATCTCAGCAACTACGGGTTCGAATTAAAAAATATTTTTGTATGGATTAGAGCATTTACCGAGAAGGGTTATAAGCTATTAAACATCGCAATGTGACTAATAGAAGCGGGAAATGTGAACAAACCGGAGGAAATTTTCAGATGCGTACGCTGCGAAAATGGTTCAAGATACCCAAAAAAATATATATGAAAGAATGATTCCTCTTTAAATGATCTAAAAAATGTCCGCGACACTATATGTCTATCTTTTAAGATTAACTTGCAAGAACGACGGGACGCGACCGATGTCGTGGGCAGCTTAAATTTATAAAGATGTAGAGGTTTGCAAAATCAAATTTGGATGCCCAAAGTAACATTTCTAGACGAGCGAAGACGCTGACACAGCTAGTAGACAATAAGAACGTTAATATAATACGAAGCAGTTAATAAAAGCATAAATACATTCGAGATTCAAATCAATTTTCACACATCACCGACCACAGAGAACGAACTAATTTAACCGATTTAAATAGAGAACGAAATTGTCGCGCGCTTTCGCGCCATAAAACCCCCACGCTAGAAGAAGATAGAACACATTTCCTCTCTCGGTCCCCGCAATAAATGCGCGGGAAAGAAAGAGAGGTTGTAATAGCCGGAAATTAGCACTCGTCTATCTTTCATTTTACACCCCAAATTTTCTTATTCCAATTTCCTTCGCTACGAGCGTCCTCCAATTTGCGGAACCTCACAGCTATGGAAAACATTGGAAAACGTGCTCTGCTGCATGGTTATAGAGTCAAAATTTAATCTGTCGTTTGAGGTTATGTGTGTTGTGCGTTCGGATACACTGTGGAGCACTCTGTCATTTGAAATGAGTCATTTTCTGATAAGAATGCCCTATTGGCTGAGACGTGTGCGATTCGGCCCGCGTCCCCGATAATGCCATTTCCGATATAGATAGCGAGTAAGTGTCGGTTTTTGCTGGAGTTTTAATAAAGCATAGAGGGAGAGTGGCCGAGATATGGAAATGAGTGTATGGAGATGAAATTTGAATTTATACACCAGCTAGTTTATTCGGAGGGTGCGGGATTATCGTACCGTGAAGATGATTTCTGAACGTTTATTACTGTTTTATCTGTGGGTGTAATGTGATTATGGAAAGTTTGTCTATGGGCATTTTGGGGAGGGATTTCTTTTATAGCATCGTATGGGAGTGTTTTCAATAATTACAATTATGATCTTATTTTAAAAATTGTGTATTTATTGTTTTGAAATAAAACACGAACTACTTAGCAAAGAAGGAAATTGTTTGCATCAATATTTGGCAATTACAACAACAAACGAATAATAAAAAGCATGTTTTATAATATTGACATTTATAATGTTGTCGAACTACAGTACTTTATCTTCTAATAAATAACTATCAGAACTTTAAAACGTAAGGTCTCAATTCATAATATGGATCCCACACCAAATGGTGTCTTCGATTTGTGTAGGCGTTACAGAAAAAAATCTTGGCATAGTATCTACCTACACACAAAAATTAATTTTCGTTCGTATCCCACGACTTTTAAAAGATAATATTTTAATTATTTAATGAGTCATAACGACCACTACATCGGGGGACTTTAAAATTAAATCGAGTGAAAGAAATCGATTCGCTCAACATTTATCGAAGTGTTCCCACGCGCAAGCGCAGTTTTTGTCACTCACCTGCCTAACATTGAAGGACTTTCGTATCAATAAATCGACAAGTTGGCATTGCCCTAAAGTTATTTTTATATTCTTGTTTAACACACAAAGGTAAACAAAAGAAAGTAAAATAACTTTAACTAAAACATTTCGCGGTTTGAACCGTTAAAAGTGTTTTATTTGATGGAGAATAATTAAAACATTTTATTACTATACTTACTTGGAATAAAGTACTTACATAGTTTTATACCTAAGTACTTACTGTCTATAGGCGCCTTTAACTTTTGGTCAGTCAGAAGTAGCGGCAAGTCAGATTTCAAAGGTCACAGCACACTATATAAATGATAGTGCTTAATGCAGACGCCAAACTACCAGTAGGGACAGTTCAATCTTGCGTCTCTATGGGTAGTCTTACTTGTAACTACTACTTATTTCCATGTTTACGTAGAAGGAAGCAGTGTAAAGGCTTTTTTAACAAAAAAATGCTATAATCCTATGGTCATTAAATTACTGTACGAAAAATTTATACACCCAATACTGCATAGGTATATTCATTTTCGCTTCATTTCACTCATCTCAAATGCATTGTTGTATCAAATAAAATTTTAAATATTCTTTCGATTCAAAATTGTATTATATAAGTATTCATTATACGAGTCTATATATAATAAGTAATTCATTTTTTTATTCTTTGCATCTTTTGTTTACTGCAAGTAGGTATGTTAACCAGTGTTATTCTGTACTGAATAAAAAAAACTTGTTTTAATGTAATTAATACAATTAACATAAACATATACATATTCATTAATAGGATTCTATTACTAATTGTATACACGTAAACAACATATAAACATTTTTTGTTGTACTATATTTATGGATAGCTTAACGCAAAAATTTTGACGTGTTTTCGATTGTATTCA